CAACTAGTTCTTTTAGTCTTCTACACTATTCTTGAACGGTCTCATAATTTTTCATTTTAGAATTCTCAAATTCTCTTCTCAAAGTTTGAAGTTGAATAGTGCATTTCTTTTCTGTGCCTTGAATTTCTTCTTGTGGTATCTCCTATGCCTTCTTCATAGTCTTCGCGCCAATTATTCTTGAAAATTCCGTTTGCTAAATAACACATAACGCCCTTGCATCCTTTTGTAGTTGTTCCTTCGGAACGCTTGCACCATCTTCCGGAGCCGCATAACATTTTTCCACGATGTCCCGTAAGTATTGGGCCATCAAGAAAGTAGTTATTTTTAAGCTCCAACAATCATATTCCCATCGAAAATAGAAATGGGAAATGTGGATGTGGTAGTGTTGGCCATAAATTTTGTGTCAGAAACTTTGGATGGGTGATTTTAGTAGAGGGCAGTTAGGACAAATACCCAATACTAATCGAACGTGTCTAGCTCTGATATCACTGTTAGTTTCTGGTCTATATGCGTGTCTGTAGATGTGTGAGGGAAAGGATTGGGCAAATAAACAGCAATTATGTACATATGAGATCGGACTATCACGGTAGTCATGGCCACGGGCCGATTTCGGCCCGGTCAAACCCAGGCCCGGCCCATTGACCGGGCCTGCGGTTTGAAATCGGAACCGGCCCGTGCCCTACGGGCCCGGTTCCAAAAAAAAAAAAAACAAAAAGAAGAAGAAAGTTGCAGCACAGCCTGCGGGTGCAGGCCATGCTGCTGCTGCTGCGGCCCGTTGCCAGGGCAGCCCCCTGGCAACAGGCAAAATTTTTTTTAAAAAAAAAAAAAAACCCCCCGCAGCAGGGCCTGCACGTCTGCAGGCCCTACTGCGGGCAAATTTAAAAAAAAAAAAAAAAAAACCCCGCAGCAGGGCCTGCACGTCTGCAGGCCCTGCTGCGGGCAGCGGGCTTGCGCCTTGCGGCCCGTTGCCAGGGCAGCCTTTAGGCTGCCCTGGCAACGGCCAAGGCCAACGCCCAAACGGGCAAAAATTTAAAAAAAAAAAAAAGATAACCGTTGCAAAATTGCAACGGTTATCTTTTCTTTTTTTTTAATCCTAAATTTTCTTCTCATTTTTTTCTTATAAATTCTCTCAATACTCACAATTCTCTCAAATTCTCTTCTCTCAAGTCTCAAATTTTCTCAATACTCGAAATTCTCTCAATTTTCTCAATCCACGCAATTCTTTCTTAATTCTCCCAATTAATCCGCTCAATTCTCTCAATCCACTCAAAAAATGGCAAGTGGAAGTCGAGTGCCAACTGGTAAAGGTAAGAATATCATGACGGAATCCCATCATTCTTTTGATCCTCGTGAATATGCAGATTTTCAAGATGATGAAATCAACATTTTTCCCGATGTGGAACGCGTCCCGACGAAAGAAAGTTTTCATCCTCCTGCCGAAATATCTACAACAAAGGAAGCGGAACGGGAATTTACATCTGACATTTGGAATCACTTCATGAAAATGGAAAGGTTTGATATTGGTCAAAAAAGGTATGATATAATTTATAAATATTGTGGAAAAATATATAAATATACAGGTGGACAAGGATATGGAACATTTAAACGACATCTTAGGAGCAAACATCCAACTGAAACGGGAATCGATATCGGGCAACAACAAATTTCTGGGTACGTCAATCCTAACACTTCCCCTTTATTTCGTTTTAATGAAAAAACTTATAAGGAAGAATTAGGCAAATTTATTTCCGTCGAGCATTTAGCATTTAATTTTGGAGAAAGATTTAGTTTTAATGAATTTGTACAAAAAGCATGTGCTCCACAAGCAAAACGTGTTCCTAAAAATTCAACTAAACGAGTAATTAAAGATCTTTACAAAAATGGAAAAAAAGATTTACAAAACTTTTTTATGCAATTTAATGGATACGTGCATATAAGTAGTGATATTTGGAGTGATCATTGGCAAAATCATTCTTACATGGGCATAACATGTCATTGGATAGATGACGAGTGGAGTATTCAAAAAAGAGTTATTGCATTTAGAGTTTTCGATGATAAGCATACGGCAAATAATATTTATAGAATAATTAGACAAGTTTTAGAAGAATATTATTTGCTTAACAAAATTTTTTCAATTGGTTTTGATAATGCCGCAACAAATACCGCTTCAATTGCCGATTTAGAAAATATTTGTAAACCCGCTTTTGGCGGAAAATTTTTTCACGTTAGATATGCTTGTCATGTTTTAAATTTATGTGTACAAGATGGTTTGAAAACTCTTGATATTTTTCTTCAACCAATAAAAACGACGATTCAATTTTTATGGAAACATCCCCAAAAAATGAAAGAATTGGGTAGATTTTGTAGAGAAAATGGCAAAAAGCCAAAAAGATTTCCAAGAGATGTTCCAACTCGTTGAAATTCTACTTTCCACTTGCTTAGTGAATCTTTAGCATATAAAGATTTATTATGTGCATTCATTTCTAATAATATACCTCAGATTAATTTATACCCATAAGAGTGGGATATTTGCCAAACAATTTTAGATGTTTTAAAGGTTTTTAATGATGCAACTTATACTTTGTCCGGTGTTTATTATCCTACTACACATTTTATTTTTAGTAAAGTGTACTAATATTGTCGGAATTTTTGATGAATATGAAAATGATGTTGAATTACAACATACTATAGTTGCAATGAAAATGAAGTGGCTACATTATTATAGCGAAATTCCCATTATTTATTTAGTTGCTTGTGTTTTTAATCCGCGTTGCAAATTGGATGGCTTAAATAATTTTTTGCGTACATATTATCAATGTTTACATTATGATGCGATAAATGTTACAACTATAGTACGTGAGGTTAAAAACGTAGTAATAGAATTATATAATGAATTTTATACTAAATATAATTTAGGTGATATTGAATTTTCTCAATCTACGGAGATACAAAATGACAGTACATGTAAAATTAGTAGAGGGTACCAACTTTTATTACATAGACAAAAAAAACAAAATGGAGTAATAGGAAATATTTCTGAATTAGAGATTTATCTAACCGTTTCATTTGAGTTTACTGAATCCGAAGGTGGTACAGATTTTTTAATTTTGGATTGGTGGAAGAGGCACGCAAGCCAATACCCAATCCTTTCTCTTATTGCAAAACAGATTTTTTCAACCCCTTGTTCCACAGTTGCGGTCGAACAAGCATTCAGTGCCGGAGGTAATATTTTGGACGAACATCGTTCAAGATTAGCTCCAGAATCAGTGGAGATTCAAGCTTGTGTTGCTGATTGGACGAAGCCTCAATACCGGCAATAAGAGATAGATCGGAATAATGAATCCGAATTCTTTAACGACGGAGATACTACCGCTACCGGTACTGGAACGGGTAGTGACAATTGAGGGTAAAAGAACTATTGGAGTTGGCAAATATTTCGGGAACCCTTGTTTCTCATACCGGGTACGCCCACGTGAGCTTAGGGAAACCGAAGTATAATCCAACCACATGTGACATCTGGTCCCCTGCGCACGGAATGCTTAGGTTTTGAGATCATTTTAGGGCATATATATTGTGTTCCTTTTTTTTTATAGATCGTTGTAACGAATTGTAATGTGCTTAATGATAATTTATTAAGTTCAAGCTCTCTCTTTCTCTCTTGTCTTTTTGTCCCCAAATTTGATTACAATTTACATTTTAATTACAATTTATATTGAATAATGTTCCGTCACCGGAACAGTAATTTTTTAATTTTTTTATTATTTTCTTTTCTGTTTTTTTTCCTTTTCTTTTTTTTTTCTTTCTTCCTCTGCCGGCCATAGCCGGGGCCAGCGGAGGTCGCCGGCCTCAGGCGAGGTCGAGCCTCGCCAGATCTGGCGAGGGTTCGACCTCGCCGGCATCGGGAGAGGCCGGCCTCGCCAGTTGCAGGCGAGGTCGAGCCTCGCCGGCGTCGGGAGAGGCCGGCCTCGCCAGTTGCAGGCGAGGTCAAGCCTCGCCGGCGTCGGGAGAGGGTTCGACCTCGCCGGCCTCAAAGGAGGCCGGCCTCGCTGCTTCTTCGGCGAGGTCGAGCCTCGCCGGATCTGGCGAGGCTCGACCTCGCCGGCCTCACCCGCTGCCGGCGAGGTCGAGCCTCGCCGGCGTCGGGCGAGGCCGGCCTCGCCGATTGCGAGCAAGGTCGAGCCCTCGCCCGATCTGGCGAGGCCGGCCTCGCCCGACGCCGGCGAGGCCGGCCTCGCCCGACGCCCGGCGAGGGCGACCTCCGCCGGCCCCGGCTATGGCCGGCGGAGGAAGAAAAGAAAAAAAAAAAGAAAAGGAAAAGAAAAAAACAGAAAAGAAAAATTATGAACCGGCCCAGAACCGGTTCCAAACCGACCGGTTTCGAACTTGAACCGAAATCGGAACCGACCGATTTCGATTCATACTTGACCACGAACCGATCGGTTCCTAACTGTGATCATGACTATATCATGGCAAGGGAGCACAAGGGAACAAGAAGATAAAAGCTTTTATTATTTAGCGAGTATTACAAAAGAAAGGGGAGAGCTAACTTTTTGTCTGCCTCAAGTAAGATTGGACGTCCACCAAGCCGGCAAGCCCTATTTATAGGCATACATCATCGCCACGCTGCACCAAATATCTCCGCATGTGAGAGAGATTTTTCTTTGCTTTCATCCTTATCCACACAATAATAGAGACTTCAACACTATTCTTAGAAATTTCTTATGCATGCTAGACACTTCTTGACATTTCCTGTGCATGTTAGACTACTATAAAAATTGGATCAATTATTTTAACCATTATCATATCTGGAGCAGATTTTGGCTTGTGTCCATCTACCTGATGTTTCATCTAACAATATATGCCGTATCAAAATCCTCCAAACTGATATTGCTCTCTTGTGCATAGAAAATGGTGCAGTAGTTGGTTAAGATGAACTTCTTGTTTTGGTTTTGCTATCAATGAAGAGCAATTTATGTCCAATTTTTGCAAAGTTATGACCCTTTGTGGCAAGAATAGAAGCGCCAATAACATTCCATCATGAGTAACATTCTCCAAGTTACAGTCATATTTCTCTGTGCCAAAGCAGAAATTGTAGCATACATGGAAACTCGAAACCTATTTTGCTGCGAGAGGCAGCTGAAGCGGGTTAAGCCCTCCATCGACGGCGAGGTTGTGGCCATTCACGAATTCGGAATCTTCAGAAGCTAGAAACACCACAGCATCAGCCACGTGCTTCGCTTTCAAAACCCCTTTTAAGCTCGAACTCGGCTCGAACATCCTCTCGATTTCCTCTTCACTCCCGCCAAAGGTGTTGCAGACCATTGGTGTCGCGACCGGTCCTGGCGACACGCAGTTCACGCGTATACCATGTGCTCCGAGTTGCTTGCTTGCCGACCTCACCAAGCCCAGCACCGCATGCTTAGACATGGTATAGTCCATGTACTTGTCACTCCCGATGCTCGCATAATTGCTCGCCGTGCAAATTATGCTTCCCTTTATGTCGTTATCCACCATTGCGCGTGCCCCGTGCTTCACACACGAGACCATGCCTTTGACATTTACAGCGAAAAGGCGCTCGAAAGCCGACATGTCGAAATCAAGAATGTCTTGCTCGACAGAACTGAACACTCCGGCGTTGCTGAACATGATGTCCAGCTTACCATACAATTGAAGGGTCGACTGTACTAAGGATATCACCTGTTGCTCATCGGCGACATCACAGTGAATATAGATGCAGCAGCTGGAGCCAATCGATTCTACGAGGTCTCGGCCCTTCTCATCCTGGATGTCAGCAATCACGACTTTTGCACCGTGACTGGAGAAACAGCGAGCCGTTTCCTCGCCGATGCCACTCGCGCCGCCAGTTACTACGGCTACTTTCCCCTCGAGTTTTTTCGAGGCAGAATTCTTCATCCCTTTCCGTATGCAAAGCCAGAACAAAAAGGAATTAGAAATGATCACTTGCCGAATTCTGCTCTTATTCAGATGAAAGTATAAACAATCACTTTCAGGTAAGATGCCTGAGGGAAAACAAAACTATAGTGGACATAGAAATCTCTAGTCCAATCGAAGACTACGCTAGTGGACGTGAGAAACAAGCAAAGAGATGTACTTAAGATTCCTAAAAAATATCTCTGTCCTTTGGGCGCGGTAGTGGAAGTGTGTGGAGAGCACTAGGCCTGGGAGAAAATATTGCATAGGCCGACCCCTTCACGTCACCACGACACCGGACCATCCAGCAATCGACACGTGGAGCGGGTGGGTCCCACGGACGGAGCCTCTTCTCTCCTTTATCTTACATGCGGGAGAGCATGATGGGGTTGAGAGAGAAAACCCCGTACGTCATTGTTGAGCAGATTTCTTTGCTGAAGAGAGATCAGTGAATTATGGGAGGTTGCAGATTTTGCGCAGATTTGTTTAATCTGTCTGTCTTTTCCCCAAAAAAAAAAAAAGGGTCCAATTCCCTAAAAAACTCCTAACTTTACCCTTTGTCCCAATTATATCCCAAACTTTTTTTTATCTTATAAAAAACCTCAAACTTTACTTTTGTCAAATCTACCAATTCACTTTTCGTCCAATTTTTTAATATTATTTTTATTTTTTCGAATTTTTTTTTTTTTCTTTTCTTTTCTTTTTTCCTTTCCTTTTCTTTTTTTTTTGTTTCACCTTCGGCCGGTCGCCGGCCGGCGCCGGCCGAGGCGGCCGAGCCTCGCCGTGGTGGCGAGGCTCGGCCCCCGGCCGGCCGGTGAGGCTCGGCCTCGCCAGTTCTTGGGCGAGGCCGACCTCGCCCGATTCTTGCGGTGAGGCCTCGCAATAGCCGCGAGGCTCGGCCTCGCCCGGCCGGCGTGGCGAGTTCTCGCCCGAGATCTGGCGAGGCTCGGCCCGCCGCACGGCGAGGTTGGCCTCGCCCAGACAGCGAGGTTCGGCCTCGGCCAGGCCTCGCAGTTCTTTGGGCGAGGCCAGGCCTCGCCCGATTCTTAGGCGGGCCGAGCCTCGCGAGATCTGGCGAGAACTCGGCCACGCTGGCCGCGGCAGGCGAGCCGACCTCGCCATGGCCGGGGCCAAGCCTCGCCGTGGGTGGCGAGGTCGGCCCCCGCTGGCAACGGCGAGTCGGCCTCGCCCGGCAAAGCGGCGAGGCCGAGCCTCGCCCGATCACGGCGAGGCTCGGCCTCGCCTAACGCCGGCGGGACCAGGAGCCTCGCCGGCCACGGCGAGGCTCGGCCTCGCCCAACGCCGCGAGGCCGAGCCTCGCCCCCGCCGGCCCCCGCCTCTGGCCGGTCGCCGGTCCGGCGACCGGCCCAAAGGTGAAACAAAAAAAAAAGAAAAGGATAGGAAAAAGAAAAAAAAATAAAAAATAAAAAAAATTCGAAAAAATAATATTAAAAAATTGAACGAAAAGTGAATTGGGTAGATTTGGGACAAAAGTAAAAGTTTGAGGTTTTTTATAAGACAAAAAAAAGTTTGGGATATAATTGGGACAAAGGGTAAAGTTGAGGGTTTTTTAGGGAATTAGGCCCAAAAAAAAGTTGGGTTTTGGGGAAGATGAACAGCGCAGATTTCTTTATCTCTCCGGCTGTCGATAGGGCCGGAGGTTCTCGGGTTATAAAAAAAAAACAGTGGAGAGAGAAAGGACGAGGGAGAGAGGCTGGAACCCACCGCATCACGGGTCTCGATTGTTGAATGGTCCAACCCCATGATGACGTGTAGGAGCTAACTTATGCAGTATTTTCTCCTAGAGCTCGTGTAGAAGTATTAAAATAATCTTTGGAGAAAAATATCTACATTATGTCGGTTTTAACTATATTTGAGAAACTATTTTGTTCAATTAATAAGATTATTTTTTTTATCTCAACTTATATCTTTGAATTTATCTTATCTCGTTCCCTCGTCTCTCTCTCTTGTTCCCTCGTCCGTCCTTTACTATATATGTATTATATACATTGGTACACCACTAACAAAAAAATTATGATCGGTGTCAAAATCGTACTTTTGCACGATCTACACTCCAACAGCCACCAATGCTTGTCCAACAAGAAACCTTTCTTTTTCTATGTGATTACATTTCTATGAAAGAACTATTTCCAAGTTGCTCAACTTATTCATAGTGCAAAAGCTGGATAATAAAAAGTAAACATGTGGACAGAATCTTCAATGCAAGAAACACCACTGCATCGGCCACATGCTTCACTTTCAACTCCCTTTCAAGCTCCACGTTGACTCGAGTGAACTCTCGACTTCCTCCTTACTCCTGCCCATCAAGCCATGTGGCAGCGGTGTCACGACTAATCCCGGTGACACGCAGTTCATGCGTATGCCGCATGCTCCGACTTGCTTGCTCGCCAACCTCACCTATCCCGGGCACAGCATGCTTAGACAAGACGTAGTCAATGTACTCGTCACTTCCAATTGTGGCCGCGACGCTGGCTGTGCAAATTATGCTTCCCTTGAGCCCCCATCAACCATGCATGGGCCCCATGCCTGCTGCAAGTGGCCAATCCTCGGATATTGACAGCGAAAAGTTGCTCGAAAGCTGGTATGTCGAATTCAAAAATGTCGTGCTTGATGGAGTCGCAGACTCCTGCATTGCTGAACATGAATTCTAGGCGACCGTGCAATTGAAGGGTTGACTGTTCTAAGGACTCACCTGTTCTTCATCCGAGACATCACAAGAATGTAGGTGTAAATGGGGATTCTTATTGACTTGGATGTCAGCGATCGCAACACATTTACTGTGATTGGCAAACCCGCCGGTTATGATGGCTACTTTTCGACTGAGCTTTTTCAATGCATGGTTTGTCATCCTTTCCCTCTGCAAAGGTTGAGATAAAGAATGGAACCAGAAATGGTTTTTTAGGTTATATCAGGGAGACGACGATCCCCTTGATACATAAAACTAGGGAGAATTCAGATGGAGGCTGGTTTTTACATTGATTAAGATGTTTGGAAAAAAAAAATGAGTTTCGAGTGTTAGATTAGCACTGCCAGCTCAATAAGAAAATTTTTCGAACCCTGGATGTATCTCAGTTGACTTTCACTTGACCAAATCTTCTGCAGATACAATTTTTATGAACCATCTTTCATCCCCTTATTAGTGACAGGTCACCAGCCATCGTTTACTTTGGCAGAAAATAGTGAAAGTGAGACAGGTTTCTCATGTTACTCGTTTTCGGAAGAAGCTTTGCATTTTAGTCTCTGCTATACATCATTCAGACACTGTACTCCGGATTATAAAATTTCATGCTGCTGCCACCGAGAAGCTGGACAGGCTAGAAATGTCACTCTCTCAGCATTGGCATAGAGAAAGAACAGCAATAGCAAAATCTTGGGTCAGAGATTGTAGAATGTAGAGCATATTAACGTTGATGTCTTTTCCACTGCTTTAAATTAATCTAAAAGCCAACTCTGCCCTTAATCAACATCACCAAAGAGGAAGATGCTTCTATCATTTTGAGGTCATTGTTAGATATTTGCCACTCAATTGTAGAACAAAAGTTCGATGGATTATCATTGCCGGAAGATTGAAGATGTTCAATTTATGAGCAATCAACATCAAAAGGAACGACGCAACTGATAAAAAATCAAACAATGAGAATCGGGAGTGTGGCAAGTCAACCTTCAAAAATTGATGAAGGAAATCATGCTACCTTCAGAAAGGCAGCAATCCTTCTGCTAGACATACTTTCCATATTGTTTCCATATCCTTGAGGAAACAGAGAAATTGAACATCCAAGCCAACCGTTGCAAGGAATCATGCATTAGACTGCATACAAGAACATAATTTACAGGCCCCAGAGAGAGGGGAAAATTGACAACAATAAAGCATTCCAAGCAAGTTGATACATTCTAGCATGATGATGATGGCAAGAAGCAACAATCATCTAACTCCTCATTCAGCAGTAGTCAGAATGTGACTCGTAGAAGTCGCTGGGGCAAGGTGACATAACCTCTTGCTCGAGCAACTGCAACACCTGGTTCATTGATGGCCGTTCATCTGGGATTGCATCGGTACACCTCACAGCTATATCAAGAATTGCTTCTACAGTTTCAGCATCGGCACCGGGGCATCTCTTATCCAAGACATCTTCCAGCCTGTTCTCTCTCAATAGGGTGTTCATCTGCAAATGACAATACATTACTATCTACACAAATGAAATGCAATTAAAAACACGGTAGCAAGTAGTAATCTTTTCTCGAGTTTTTGGACAAAGAAGGTGTCAGGAATGCTCACCCATCCAACAACATTCAAGCCTTTCTTCACAAAACATGGATCAGTTGGTCTCTTTCCAGTTACAATCTCCAACAACAGAACTCCAAAGCTATACACATCCGACTTCTCAGTAGCTATTCCACTTTGAAGATACTCTGCTTGCCAAATGGTCACAACCTAACCGGTGAGAGTTTGTCAAAAGAAGTGCTAAGCATATATTGCACTAACTAGAAAACCATGATCATAGAATTATCATATTATTTTACTTTTATATGTACTTTAAGATTCTGCTTTCCAGCTGATAGTGACAGTCTAATTTCAGAAAGCAAAATAAAGCTAAGCAAGCAATAGAGCAAACAAGAGTTGACAATATGCAGGATGCTGCTGCTAATTATGAAACAAAAAGTCATAGGACTAAATCAGCAGGAACCTAGCCACAATGCATTTTCATTGGGGCTTACTATACAACAATCAGTTCATCCCATGCTATGTCAATGTGAGCATTAATTACTAGAAGATTCAGATGCTTGCTCATCCCATGTCCGCAGTATGAGAACTAACTCAGCATGGTGTGCTCAGAAGATCTTGTAAGCATTCCAATTAAACGATTTAAGGAGAATTAGTTGACAAATAAAGGCATCATCAAACTACCAGAATTAATTAGGTGCACCATCATTTGTTATCTAAAAGTTGTTACTGGATAAACTACAGTTCAGGCTAACTAGGCAGAAAACCATTGAAGCATACAACAAAAGATACGGAAGATATATACAATTGCATGATTTAACCATAAAAATAATGCTGTTTAGATAACGCAAATCTCCAAAGTCCAGCATTTCATGTCTGATGTCAATGTGGAAAAAGACGCATGATAAAATACGTACTAAAGTACCTATCATCCGCGCCATAGATAAAAAGGCCAAACCAATAAGTTCTTTAGCTATATGATTGGAAGGAAAAGAAGGAGAGACACTAACCAGGTGCAAGATAACCAAAAGTGCCAGCAACTACAGTTGTAACATGTGCTTCTTCATCTACCAGAAGCTTGGCAAGTCCAAAATCAGAGACATGGGGCTCCAAGTTTTCATCTAAAAGAATGTTGCTGGACTTTATATCACGATGCACGATCTTAGGACAGCAGTCGTGGTGCAGATATGCAAGCCCTCGAGCTGAACCTAAAGCAATTTTCAGTCGAGAACTCCAGTTCAAGGGTCGTGCTTCCCCATGTACTGGTAGAGAAAAAATTAGAGGGACGGAGATGAGACAAATCAAATGACAAAAGAGATGACCGACAAATTCTGAAGAATAGCTAAAAATGGACCCTCTGCAGCCTAATTGGTTCTGAATATGGCTTGGAGAAGAGAGTGATTAAAGTTTGAGGTCTAGGAAATGCCACATACCATGCAAGAGATCATCTAAGCTTCCCATGGCTAAGTAATCGTAGATAAGAAGCTTTGTTGCAGGGAGCCTGCAGTATCCACGCAGGTTCACTAGATTTATGTGCTTGATGCTGCCCAGTATCTCTAACTCCCTTTCAAATCCTTGATCAGATCCTTCACGACTTCTGTCAATCCTTTTAACAGCAAATGTCCCACAATCATTCATTACCATTCTGTACACAGTGCCAAATCCTCCAGATCCCACCACATCCTCTTCATCAAGAGACTCGAGCTTCTCTATTATTTCGCACGAGGGATATGGAAGATCTCCATGGAAAGTAATAAGCTTCATGCCTGTAGAAGAATGAGGTTTCAGTACAGCAAGAAGTTACATAGAAATGGCATACATCGAATTTCAAGAGATCGGATCTCACTTGCTTCTGGTTCGACTTGTTTTTTGACTTCTTTATATCTCTTCGCTGCCCTTTCCTTCTTTGTTAGCAAACAAACCCATAGGAAAGCCAAGAGCATGACAAGTGCAAGACCCATCATGGACATGGCACCAATCAAAACTCCTTTGATGTAATGTGAAGATCGCTTAGCAGGGACTGCAATTAAACCAAGTAAATTACACATATATACCTTGCAGTATAAACATTTTCTAATAAAAATTACATATCTCTTTCTCCTAAAGAGCTATTAATCACACTATGAATGTTACCGGATGCTTCATCACTCTCAGCATGTGGCAGCACTGCGGGAAATCCCATTGAGGTTCGACATGGCTTCTGCACTTGTTGGCCACAAAGATCTAAATTTCCAGTAAATCTGCAAAAGATTAAGCACAGTTTGAGAACCGTGTTTCGATGGACAGAGTATAAATCTTATAAATGGCTGACCAAGGTCAACCCAGGCAGAGTACTGAGTATCACCACAAATATCTGCATTTTTATGTACAATTTTCATGTCCACCATATTTAATGATGGTAATTATGTGGGGTGAAACCACATTGTAAAAATCCGCAGTTAACACACTTTCTATCGCTTGGATAGTATGGAAAAGCATATCCATTACCATGCATAATACACGCCACTAAACTTCCATCCTAGTTGAGCTGCAGAACACTCCCCCACTTTATAGAAATTACCCTGAATTATCTAATTCACACAATGCTCATTGCCGCTAATTTCAAGTACATTTTTGCCCACTCATTCATTTCTTTTATTGCAAACAGTGAGAGGCACTTGACTCATCGTTGCAGAAGACGGGATGAGAGATTCATTCAACTTGGTAACTGCATGTGCTTGCATATCAAAGACGATACTTCTTAAATGAACGATAATTAGCATGTCCGAGACTCTAGTCTAGTTACTTACGAACTGCGTCCAAAAGTGCTGAGAACTCCAACATCAGGGATTTCACCTGAGAAGAAGTTGGTTGACAAGTTCCTGAAAATTGATTGGTATTAAGCACCGATTAGAATTACCAACGAGAGAATTGCAATAGGAAACTCTAGGAAGTTGCACGGTCATTATGGATGAACATACAAGTTATGAAGTCGTGTGAGACGTCCGAGAGATGAAGGTATGGCTCCCTTAAGAGAATTGCTTGATAAATCCCTACACCCAATTCTTATGCTCAGAAGAATATTTGGATTTTAGTGTATTTAGCATGTATATGATTGAGGAGCCAATCAAACTTGTCGTGCCTCCGCAAGAAAGGCAGAAGAAGAACAAAATAGAATAACTGACAAAAGACAGAAAGTTCACAGGATGCTGAGAGATGAGAGGTTCCCAATGGCAGACGGAATGCCCCCTTGAAGATAATTAGCCCGCAAGTACCTAAATTATAAAATGACAGAGCTTCGAAGCATTAATCATAGCAGACGAAGAATGCAAGAAACTGTGAAACTTCACTACTCAGAAAAAGACATGTTGCGCTTACAATGCTTTAAGTTCTGCACAGTTGGCAATCTCACTTGGAATGGTACCACGCAGGCTATTCGAGTGAAGTGCTCTATCACAAAATAACATCTTTCAGTTGTTTGAATTATTACTATTTTTTCGATTCTTTAGAGACAATGGGCTACATTAAACTCACAGTCTTTGCAATCTGTTGAGCTTGCCAATGCTGGGAGATATAATCCCTCCTAATTGCTTGTAAGGAAGATTTCTGAAATGCCAAGATTCAGAAACATGCATTAGACTTAGAAAGAGAGAATTCAAGAACTCGGATTCAACCACACAGTAAACAAGACAACTGATGCAAGTACATGGTGCGGACTCTCTCATCGGGATGACAAGATATGCCGGTCCATTTACAGGGAGACTGGTCGGTAGCTTGCCAGTTGCTGAGTGAGTTCTTGGTGTCATTCAGAGCGGCTTTAAATTCCAACAACGTAATACCTGGAAATCGGAAAGATCTTAAATGTGTTCTCGCACCTAATTCGTTGCACAAAAATGCCAAAAGCACCAACAAGTCAATGTCACGGCGGCTCAAGATTCACGGAAAAAGTTGACCCGGAATACCCCAATGACGAATGCCGCAAAATGCAAGGTGAAAATGGGAAAAAGAAAGAATCTTGAATATCCCACTTCAGGCAGACCCGTAAAAGGAACCCGAAATCACAAGCTTCTTTCCCTTTCTCCCTCTTTACCCAGCTCAAGAAAAACCGAGGGAAAACAAGAAAACGAAAAAGAAGCCCAAGAACAGAACCTCAAAGCCAATGGGGAGCCATACCATCCAGAGTCAAAGCAAGAGAGCCGTCGCCGACGAGAGCAGCCGCTAACGTCGCGGAGAAGAGCCAAATGAGAAACCCCATCTGCGTTTCTTGCTCGAAAACGTCAAGGGGTGTCTCTTATCCGAGAAAAGCCCCTGGCCCCTCCCACTGTAGAGTCTTGGAAAAGGGTCCTCCTTTTTCCCTACCCTCTTCTTCCTTTTCCTTCTTTCTAGAGAGAGATGAGGAAGAGGGGGGAGATTTTCAAACTGCTATGATAGGAGGAGGAGGTGGGTGGGAACTGCGATGATGGGGGAGGATTACAAATGTGAAAACTTTAATAATTGAAATCTGAAGCAAGAAGAGAGTGAGGAGAGAGAGGGTCTGCTTTTCTTGTTCCCTCCTCTTTTTATGAGCACAGCCCTGGCAACCGCAGCGAGAGAAGACAGAAAACATTTGAAAGCGAGCATCGATTGTCGGGCAGCAGCGGGTAGCCGTTGCCCAATGACAAGTAAAAAAAAAAAATTAATTTGTTTTTTATGCTGTTAATTACTAAAACAAAGAAAGGAAGTTCATCAACAAGAGTGCTTAGGCACTTGTTCAATAGTTATTTAAGGGTGCGCATGAATACCATTCTGTGCCCAGGAACTATTTCTGAACAGAAATGATTTTTTTTTATTCTGTGCCCGAAAACAATTTCTGAGTATTTGAAGGCGTTTGATAAACTGATCAAAATTTTTATTCCTAGAGTAGAAAAGAACAGAAACGCGTTTGGTAACTACACAAAATTTCTGTTCCCAAATAATATTTTGAATTGTTTAAATTTTTTTTTCTTTCTACCCATTTTCTTCTTTGGCCATGGCCGTGCGCGCCGACAGCCACGCCGAGGGGCCGAGGGCGTCACGGCCCTCGCCGGCCGCCGCGGAGGCGAGGGTCGCCCTCGCCGCGAGGGCTCGGTGGACCCTCGCCGCTGGGCAAGGCGGCCTCGCCAAATCTGGGAGGCGAGCCTCGCCGTCGCGACCACGGCGAGGTCGGCTCGCCAGTGGGTCACGACGGCGAGGCTCGGCCTCGCCGGATACGGGCGAGGCCGAGCCTCACCGTCTGCGGGCGAGGCCGCCTCGCCCGGGCGGCGAGGATCCGCCCTCGCCCTCGCCCTCGCCGGCGAGGGCGACCCTCACCTCCGCTGCGGCGGCGAGGGCCGTGACGCCCTTGCAGGCCGACTGGCCCGGGCTGTGGCCCGTCGCCGCGGCCGGTCCAAAGCCCAGGGAAGAACAACACAAAAATAAGAAAAGAAAAAGAAGAAAAAAACTGATTCTCAAAATTGTGCCGAAAAACAAGAAGCAACTTTTTTTTACTTCTTGTTTCTCTTCCAAAACTGTTTCTCGGCACAAATTTTTGCAAAAATGTGCCCGGGAACAAAAATTTTACCAAACGCATTTCTATTCCCAAACTATTTCTGGGAACAAAAGAACAGAAATTTTCACTATTTGGCACGTTACCAAACGGGCCCTAAGATGACTATACCCTTTTTAACACATTATCTTTTCCCTTGTATTATGCGTAATCGATATTTTGAAAGATTGAATGTTTTGTTTTGAGTAAATTTGATGTGTGTATCAAGGACACGGGTTAACATGATAAAAAAGAAAAATAGTTTTTTTATGATGTTAATTTACTAACAAAGAAACAAAGTTCATCAACGAGAGTGCTTAGGCACTTGTTCAATAGTTACCTAATATGACTATACCCTTTTTAACACATCATACTTTCCCTCGTGTTATGCGTAATCAATATTTTGAAAAATTGAATATATTGTTTTAAGTAAATTTGATGCATGTATCCAGAACACTAGTTAACATGATAGTACTCTATTAGTGAATAATATAATCTTAAGAAGTGAGTGAGTTATCATTAGCCTTTAAGAAAGTACAATAATTATTTTTTGACCTTATGTTATCCAAGTGGCAATTAAAACTCGAATCAATTGGACTATTGGAGGGTGATCGACATAGTTTGGTACTCGACTCGACTTGAATATTCAAGGCTCCAAACTATATTCTAATAAGTTCTGATAGGCTCGAGCTCAACTTGATTAAAACATTCAAGAGCTCGACTTGTTTAAAACATTCGAGGCTTGATGCTCAACTCGAACTCGAGCTCAACTGGACTCGACACCATTAGTCAGTAAGTTTTACTTGCAACTTGAGCTAAACTCGAACTCAAGTAAGGAGGCTAAGGGCGCGTTTGGCAACCATTCTGTTCCCGGAAGCTGATTTTGCTCAGAAATGATTCTTTTTGATTCCTTGCCCAGGAACAATTTTTAAGCATTTGAAGGCATTTGGTAACTGCCCAAAATTTCTATTCTTGGAATAAAAAAAGAACAGAAATGCGTTTTGTAACTGCACAAATTTTTTTTTTATTAATAACATTTTGAATTTTTTTATATTTCTTTCTTTTTTTTTTTTCTTTCTCTTCCCCTTCCTTGGCCATGGCTGATCGCTGGCGTCGGCGATCGGCCACAGGCCAGGGCCGGTGAGGGCATCGCGACCCTCACCCTCGCCGACCCTAGCCTGTGGTCGGTCGCTGGCGGCAAGCCAAGAATGAAGAAGAAAAAAAATTCTTTTCCATTTCTGATTCTTGTTCTCAGAATCAAGAAGCTACTTTTTTTTGCTTCTTGATTCTATTTCAAAACTGATTCGGGAAACAAATTTTTGCAAATTTGTGCCCGGGAGCAAAAAATTTACCAAACAAATTTTTGTTCCAAAACTGATTCTGAGAACAAAAGAACAGAAATAGTTACTATTTGGCAACTTGCCAAATGCAACCTAACAAATCTTAACACGATATAGGCTCGTGGTTCTAAAAGCGAAATAACCTTTGCTAAGACACAATCAAATTGATCGGTACGACACCATCAACTTTTTTTTTATTTTCAATTGTTATGAATTGACACGTTATCACTCACTTTTAGTAAACAATGCGGTACTTACAAAAAAGAAAAAAGACAGCAAACGAATTGCCAATCGTATTCACCAATGCTGTGTCTTGATTATTTTATCCCATAAGCGACCCGAAAAAGTGGTTTCTCATTGTTTTCTTTTAATTTTACAATAAATCCAAAATGAATGTTTTGACCTAATCTTCTCCTATTGAAAAGTAAACGTAACGGCAGTAAAGCAACCAAGTGGAGAAAATTTTAGAACAATATATCTAGTCGGCTTCGTGTTTCGGCCCAAACAGTAGGCATCTCTAGCATTTTGCTTTCAGTAATAGATGCTTTCTTCTAAAAATGAAACGTAAAAAAAAGAACTTTGCCTGCTCTAAAAAGCTGGAACATGTGCGCAGGATTTCGGTACCGTGCAGACAGACTAAGCTCACAAGTCACAATAATGCCGGATGGTAGGGTCAAATGTTCTTTCTTTTTACCCTTCTATTTCACCTTGAATGGGGACCATTGCTTAAGCGCGATAGTTTCTCGGGAGGGTTGGTTCACGGCTTAGACCTGAAAACCAAACCGGCCGGTTCTAAAAAGTGATGGATTCCGAATCGGGTGGCTCCTCTTTCTTAAAGAAATCGAAAAGTTCACTGTAGTAATCATGACTGTACATTTTAAACATTACAGTTGCTCTCGGTTCAGTGCTTGTGGGAGCTTCGTTTTATATTGGAGTCTATGGCTCAAACCTTGGTGGGTGCAAAACACAAACGTGTTCTTCAAAAGGGAAAGAAGCGGTTCGGGGCCTGCTCAGCCTTTCTCGTGGAATCGGAAATAAAACAAGTCTAATGTCAACTCTAGGTCCCTTGAATTGATATTTGGACCGGTTCCTCGAAACCAACAAAAACTTTATCAATTAGGCTAGTTTAGACAATTCTTGAGTCTAATATGATTTCGAGTCGAGTTCAAACGACTCAAGTATCTTGTTGAGTGGAGTTTTGCTCCACAAGCGAGAGATTCGGACGAGTCAGGGTAAGTTATTGAAGAGTATCTACAATACTTCGATAATGAGATGGATCAGCGTAGGACTTGTCACCATATTTGGTTGTTGGCTACTTGATGGCTATTGGAGTAGCAATTGGTTTGCATTGCGCCATAAATGCTCAACTCAAAAGATCCAAAGCTTATTTCACTTATGTTGTGAGAGAAGGAGTCCATCGGTGGTAGAGCGATTGACTTCATATCTGAGAAATAATGAAGAGCGTTAGGTTCTTTCATTGAAAATAATGGGATATATTCACTAGAAGTCTTAAAATTTGTCACGAAAGTACAATTAAATCTTAAAACTTGCAAAAAGTGCAATCAAGTCCTCAAATTTATCAAATTGATTTAATCAAATCCTAAAATTAACATCATCCAATTTGACTAACGAAAAATGCTAACGTGATTTTTTTTATTTTTTATCCTACGTGGCGATGATGTGGCTTTTAAAAATTATTTTAATACTAATTTTATTTAAATTAAAATTTAAAAATAAGCTAAAATTTGAAAAAAAAAAATGGAGAAGGAGAAGAAGGACAGGTGGGGAGGGCAGCCCTCCCCGCTGCCGCCGCCCCACCATCGCCGGGAGGGGCCAGTGGGGGTGGGGGATGGCAACTGAGGGATCACGGCCCTCCCCCAAGACCCGGCGAGGGCCGATGACCCTCGCCCGATTTGGGGGAGGGCCCGCAGGGCCTCGCATGCCGTCGGCGAGGGTCACTAGCCCTTGGCTAAGGCTCGGTAACCCCCGCTTGCCGTCCCCCACCCTCGTCGACCCCTCCTGGCGATGGTGCGGCAATGTGGCAACGGCAGCGAGGGCTTACAACCCTCCACGCCCACCTCCTCCTCCTTTTTTTTAAGCTTTTTTAATTTAATTTAAATCAATTTAGTATAAAAATAAAATTTTGGCCCAAGCGACGTCATTTTAGTTTTATGTTTCATACTTTAGCCACATCATCGCCACGGAAAAGAGAGAAAATATTAAAATAAATCACATTAGCATTTTTCGTTAGTAAGTTTGACAGTGTTAACTTTAGGAGTCGATTGAACCAATTTGATAAGTTTTAGGACTTGATTGCACTTTTTGCAAGTTTTAGGACTCAATTGCACTTTTGTGACAAGTTTTAAGATTTCTAATGAACATATCCCGAAATTAATCGACCAAGTGCATGCATAAGATGGTTCAATAGTTGTGGATAATCACCAGGATTATATCATCCACATAGAGCAGTAAATTGATATTATGACCACGATGACAATACCCAAACAGTTATGGATCAGCAGTGCTGTGAAAGAAACCATGCTAAAAGAGAAGGTTAATAAACTTGTCGAACCATGCCCGAGGAACTTATATGAGCCTAGATCAAGACAAGATGAATCACAAATAGGGGAAAAATCTCCAAATG